ACATTGTGACCACTAGCCTTCCATGTCATGGCGCTTAAGGAATGATACACATTTTTACTGCTGTGTATCCTTTACCATTACGTAGCTATCATAAAATCCATATTTGAACTCTTTAGTTGCACAAAAAATAATGAGACATTGACTTGAAATGGGTGTTACAAATTGAAGCTCCCAATAGTCATAAACATGAGGTCTATGTGGAAGACGTAGTTATTTAAAGTTAATGTGCAATTTTTACAACATTTCATGAGTTCTTCCAGTTTTAACATTAGCCATTTTTGCTATGTAAAGTTATTTTATTTTGCTAGACTCCTATCAGCTCTAAAGTCAAATAATATAGTTGGATATAGATTGTTACGGAGGAATATACAGTCACCACAACTAGATCTTGGATAGCCTCCTTCGTTCCACTGACAAACACCTTGCCTCCATCATCCCCAACTTACATTTTGAACTTTAGGAAATTCCTCCAGATGTGCCCCGATTCTCCACACTCATAACAGTTCCTTACCCCACCATTACACGATCCTTATCCTATTTGTTGATTCACTACAACGATCATCTTGGTTCTACAATATTCGAAAGTGTTCCCAATTTTGATGCATTTGTTGTAGTAAAAGCATTCCTCTGCATGATTTCATTTACACCCGTTGCACAATGGTTGTTTCCCAATATAGTTCTTATGTGGTGTTGGTGTTATGTTTGTTGTTGTTGTTATTATAGCAATATAAATCATTTCTACCTCTTCTTTTTCTACATTGCGTGTTTCACATTTTCCTTATATCCCCCATCATGCTTCATTTTGTTGTTTTTCAGACCTAGGTGGTTCCGCTTTTGTAGCCATGGTTATTGAATGAATTTTTTTGTTAGTTAAACGAAAGCCTATACATTTTTCACTATTATAGGTGGTTGGCCTTAAGGAGATAAACGTAACTGTAGACTCATGGTATCAGTCCCCAGACATAGCGTTTAATCTTTTTGTATTCTGGGGTCACCATCCTTGGGCATATAAGGGAAATCTCATTGAATCTAAATGTGAATGCGTTTATTTTGGAACCTTTCAAAGTTAGGTTCCAGAACTCATGTTTAATATTCTGCATCTCATCTCTTGGATATTAGTCTTCAACCAGCAACACTTTTAATTCATCCCAACCCATAGCTTTTGTAGTGGCAATGCCTATAGTTCTTGCTTGGTCGTTCCACTAAGTTAAGGAAACATCCAAAAACGTGAAAGCTGCAAATTGAATCTTTCAATGACATTAAGCAAAAGCTAATCTAGAACACTGATTCCATATTCTCAAACCATCTCATCAAACCTATAAGTCCTTCTAGATGCTTTTGAGCATGCAATTCATAATATATTTTTAACTACAAGTTCTTTTAGGCCATCCAAGATCTCCATGGGAACTAATGTCACGTTCATTGCCATTTCCACCATTGCCTACTTTGGAGGTTCCATTTTGGTATTATTTTTTTTTGATGTTTTCAAGTGCAATTATGATTCATTTCGATATTAATTGTTCCAATTTTGCTGAGCTCTTAGGTAGACCTTCTTCAAGTGGTCGTGATGGTGGTGGTTGTTCAGGTTGTACAGATAGGGTTCATCCTTAGTTTACTCTTGCACTTCATCTTCTTCTAGGTCACAATCTTTTACATCCTATTATGATAGTTTGAAGTTGGTAAGTTAAATGAATCATTTTGTTATTTGCTAACATGTAATTATTTTGAGTTATTCACTGACATCAAAACAAGTCAATAATAGTAATATATGTTTTATTATATTTATATGGTACGATTACATTTTCAATTACAATAGATGTGCCTGATTTTGGAATGAAAAATTCTTAATTTAATTTACAATAGCCCATAGGCCCAAAATTTTCAAGGTTGACTATACTCTTGCTAATGCTTTTCTCCAAAATTAGTAACTGAGATCACTACTTGCCCAACCATTCTATCATCTCCCAAAATGGTAGTCCTAAGTTAAACTTCTACAATAAAAGTTGAAAAGTCATTTTATACTCTTGTCTATACAACTAACCATCTATACCATATACACATCTACCACTTTCTTTCCAGTCTACCATAATCCAAAGTACTGACCCAAGACATTAGTAATCTTAGTCACCTGATTCTCTAACGTTGTGGTCCTATGCTCGATTCATAGCTCGCTCATCAGTGTTCCCTGCTTGGAGAATGATGGTCTATGAGTAGAGCTCTAACTCTGAAATCCTTGAGGCTTATGCCATCATCTCTGTAAAAGCAAAGTGGACCATGTGATGCACATTAATAATCAATACATGCTCTTGTGTGAGCTGACCCTCGATCCTATGCACATGCCTAGATAAGAGTTAGGCATTTCCCTCAATGATGTTGATCTATCCATCAATAATTATTAGTTAGTTCGCAGAGGGATCTTCTTCTGGTTTATTGCTTTCAGTGGGTACAGTAGCTCTATCATTGGATGGCATTGTATTGTACGTTGTTGGGTACTCTAGGTAGTATGGATCTCCAGATGACAAGGGAAAAGGGGCTTCAGGTTCTTCTAAAATCATCCACTCAGGCAATTATGTCATTTATTGAAAACATGATTCATTTATTAGTAGAAAGTTCTAAGTTCATAAATTCTAATAATTTTTATTGTGCTTGTGTTTTTTGTGATTATAGTTGTGATTTGGTTCATAAAATCCTCAAGAGTTTTAGTTTATCACTACTACATTTAAGTTAGACAGTTCATGTGGTCAATCCATAATAAAACTTAGGTGTGCAAACTGAGTTTAGTTGTTACATGACCTATGTACTACAAATCTTAGTTGAGTATTTGATCTAGAGTCTTGAGTTTCATGCTTAATATGATGTTAGGTATGTGTTCTCGTTGCAGGACTAGGTTTATACATAAAACTGCATACCTTGTGTTTATTTTGTATTATTATTTAATAATATTTTATTATTTTTAGAATTATACTTACAAAGAGTGTTTGTACTCATCTATAGTCGTACTTATAGCTAAAGCTCTGATACTAATTTGACACATCCTCGCCGGCGGCGGAAACATAGGGCGCGCAACTTCGAAAATGGATCACATTCAAAGCATACATGGAACAGTATAAAAATAATATAACATTACAAATTCTAATATTATAAAATAAGTCTTACATTGTTGAGTACATTGTAACATAACTTCATATATAAAAGTAGTTTCCTTAACATATAGTTAATATCAAAAGTGCGAAATACAAGATCCATAAAATCTGTGATGGTGAAAATTTTGATCTTTATGTTCCCAAGACTACATGTTTTTAATATTTGTGAGTTTCACTGGTTTAGACTCAAATTACTTTTATAACCAAAAGTGCATATTTAAGCGTACAAGTGTTTACACATCTTATAAAAAGGAAATATATTTGTAATCCTACAAGTGTGAGTACTTACTTTTTTAATATATTACAAAAATATACCTGAAAAAGCTTTTGTTATTACGATCATCATTTCCTTTACTAGGTTATATAAATATACATGTATCGGTGTACAAGTATTTAATAGTCCAGTTAATTTCATATCAGCTTAACAAATTGTTTATAGAATGTACTCAGAGATTTTTCTATGAGCTTATAACTGAGCTACTGAACGAATAAACTTCCACCTGGCACTACAAGTGTCATCCGACATTATTCGTTAGACAAAAGGTTGCAGCTACAAACCACGGGTGGAGGTATCAACCTCTATAGATCTATCGATAATGTTTTTTTATGATAAAGATCAACGATTATATAACGAACGGTTTGACTTTGTATTTATCCTTAGGTAATTAAGAAAGAAATCATATACGTATTCCCGAGTTTATAAATCTAAAAGTGTGTGTATTTTAGTCCAAATCTTTAGTTGAAAAGTTTATTAGACTATTATTTGTTCACTGAATTTAACTTGTTCAAAATGTAGATCCGTGTCTTAAACATTATTTTAATAATTTTATTAGACTTGGTAATCATTTATTATTTAAAAACAATATCAAAGTTTTCTAATAAAAATCGGGTAGCATAACGAGTATGTGTACCATCCTCTTACCATTTAATTATTTCAAGAGATCTATATGTAAATATAGTATCATCAACGCTTTAATTACTTTGGGGTGTTTGGATTGGAAAAAAATGACTCCTTATTAGTTTATTGCTTATTGTCACCACAATAAGCTAATTTAAGTGTTTGGATAGGATGCTTAAAAAATCAGCTTATTGTGGTAGGAATAAGCAAAATAAGCTGATTTTAATAAGCTATCAGAACAATGCTTATTGCTTATTGCTTATTTTTAATGATTCAGAAATTACCAATTTACCCTTCAATAAACTATACATAAAACCCCTTAAACCCTTCAAAACCGATTATTTGCTTCACCTGTTGTTGCTGCCGATACCTTTTCTCCCTTGGCCATCGTCCCTGGAACAATCGACAATCAGGTATGTTCTTGATCTTTTTTTTTTTTGCTTTGCTTTGCTGTTATAGTTCTTGTATTATTGCAAGGATGTTATTTTTTTTTTATCGAATCCCTCAGCTATGAGGATGCTGTTGATCTTTTTTTTTCTCTGCTGCTATCGTTCGTTGCAATCTAGCTATCCTGCAACCAATGATTGTTCTTCATTCTTGATGCAACATGATTGTTTTTTTTTTTTGATTGGTGATGCAACATGGTTATTTTTTTTTCTTTGTTTTTAATCGGTGATGCACCATGCCCCTGTGATTATATTACTTTTTGTTGTTTAAGGATGTTGCTCACGATTGTGTTTGTGTGTATGTGTGTTTTTTTTGTCCCAGAAACTGCCATTAACCTGTGATAACATGCCCCTGTGATTATTCTTGAGTTTCTTCATCAATTATTGTTGTTGTTCTTTGCTATTATTGATGGTATTGATTATTATTTGTATTCATAAATTCCGCTGTCTATATTTATTAAACAGTAGGTTGAAATTTAAGAGGTTTTTTTATTCCTTATCATGATTTAATATAGGTAATGGACAGTATCAATGTTCATGATATGGATTTTGATACAACCAAAGTGAAAGTTACAAATAGGTTTAATTGGGATCCTTATACATTCAAGATATTTCTTGAGGAATGTATGACCGAGCTAAAAAAACGGGAATAGAGCGAGTACTTATTTCAAACCGTCCGTGTGCCAAAATATATGTAAGAGGCTTTTGGAACGAACGGGTAAAGAACTGGACAAAAATCAAATGAAAAACAAATGGGACATAATCCAGAAAGAGTTCAAATATTACGACCGTTTAACAAGACTAGAAACGGAAATTTCAATTGATCCCGTGAAAAATACAATCTCAGCATCAAAGCAATGGTGGGATTATAAAATAAAGGTAAAAATTAAAATTTTTATCTAAGAATATATTATTTGTATTGTGTTTTTCATGACATTCTACATTTGTACATATAGGAAGATAAAGAGTTTGCTAAGTTTAAGGATAAGAATTTGGATGTATATCAGACATATTATGAGGCTCTATTTCGGGATACTGTAGCTATTGGAGACAAGGCTAAGGTACCTTGTGAATTTGGCGACAATAGCACTCCGAATGATGTACAACTTGTGGATATTACGGATGGAAAAGAGGATATTGATGACGTCCTCTTATTTGATGATGTTGATCCTTTTTTCACAATGGATAGTTCTAGTATGAATAAGAGGGGAAAGAAATTAACTCCCAGGCGTAACAAGAAAAGAAAATTTGAAGGAAAAAATGATGGAAAAAATGATGAAAATAGTGAAGGAAAGAGTATGGCAAACTCGTCATATGAAGAGAAACTGGACACTATTTTTTGATGTTTTGTTAACAAGGAGCATTCAACCCTCAAGACAAACCACACAGTCACCCACAATAGAAGAATGCATGGCAATTGTCTCTACTTTCCCGGGTTTTGAAGAAGGCTCAATAGGATATTTAGAAGCGTTAGAGGTCTTTTTAAAGAAACCAAATCATCAAAATTTTATGGTTCCAAAGAGTAATGACACAAAGATGGAGTTTCTCAAGAGGCTTATAGAGAAAGAGAAGTAGTGTTAGACTTATCCTTTTATGTCATGTTTTAGACATTCTCTAATTTTTTGGTCAGTTTTGCCCTTGCCACATGGTTATGTTTTGTTTCCTTTTCTATGCTTTTATCTATTAGGTAAACTTTAAATGGTTGTCATGTGTCAGACCTATTCTTTCAACTATTATGTTAAATTTAAATGGTTGTTTTTTGTGTGTTTTATGCAATGTCGTTTGATGTTTGTTTTGTGGTCAATTTTTCCCTTGCCCCATGATTTTACTCTTCTTTTCTTTTCAATGATGTTGCTATGATTTTATCTAGTATGTGGTAAATTTCAATCATACCCTTGTATCCTTTCGTTAGTAATAGGTTATATTCATGGCCAGTGACTGTGAAAGTGACAACTCATATGACAGTGATGACTTATGTGATGAAATTGAAGAAAATAAGGAGATTCAAACACTTCTTTTATGTGGGATTGCTGTCAAAGGGTTACTATTGACTAAGAAATCGAAAAACGTGCGTAGACGTCGTCGTTCATCTACATGCACAGGAAGCATGCTTATCAATGAAATACTTAACGATCATGAGAGCCGATGTTATAAACTTTTCAGATTAGAAGTCCCGGTTTTCAACATGTTATGTAGGGATCTTGTTGCACATTATGGGTTAAAGAAATCACGTCGTGTATCTATTGAAGAGTCCCTTGGTATTTTCTTGTTGTACTTAGCGCATGGATGTGGAAATCGGTTAGTTCAAGAGTTTTTTAATCATTCTGGAGAAATAGTCCATAGGCATTTTCATAAAGTCTTGGATGTTGTGGTTAACCTAAGTAAGGACATCATCAAACCAAAAGCCAACTACAACGAAGCTATACCAGAACATATTTTAAATAACCCTCGGTATTATCCATACTTTAAGGTAGTTACTTAGTTGCAAAGTTATGTTATTTGGTGAGTTTGTGTACTTGTAAAAATAATTGGTAACTTGTTATATTATTTGAAATTGTAGGATTGTATTGGTGCCATCGATGGAACACACATGAAGGCCTCTGTTCCGCAACATGAACAAATCAAATTCATTGGGCGAAAGAATTTCGTTACTCAAAATATTATGGCAGCGTGTGATTTCAACATGTGCTTTACCTTTGCGTTGGCTGGATGGGAGGGGACTGCACATGATACGAGAATTATCAATGAAGCGCGAAGGAGACGTGAAGTTAAGTTTCCACTTCCATCGGATGGTTACTATCATTACTTATTAATAGAAGTTTTATAATTTCAAACGGTATAAATAATAACAATCATATGATTTATTTGTACATGTATAGGTAAGTATTACCTTGTAGATGCCGGATATCCTAATACAAAAGGTTATATTGCTCCGCATAATGGTTCAAACATCCGTTATCATATTCCCGATTTTCGACGTGGACAGACTTCTGCCTCGCGGGAACCAAAAGGCTTCAAAGAAAATTTTAACTATTATCATTCGTCACTTCACAATATAATTGAACGAACTTTTGGAGTTTGGAAGGCTCAATGGCTGTTACTAAGAGATATGCATGTAAATTTCGACTTCGAGACCCAAGATAAAATTGTGCTAGCTTCATTGGCGATTCACAATTATATTAGAATCAGCGGTAGTGGTAATGCAGCATTTCAAATAGCGCAAGAAGGATCTTATATTCCGCGCAATGAGGAAGGACCCAATAATGGTATTGAGCCACATGACGAAGTATCAAGTACACAACGTAGAACTGAGGATATGTATATCTGTGCAGTACGCGATATGATTGCGGGATAGATTTTCTCAAGGTCAACCACTCGTGTACGTAATGGAGTATGATTTGTTTTGAAACTTTGTAGTATTTTCATTTTATGGTTTAATGTAGTAGCATGAAACTATTTTGTGTAATATTTTGGATAATATGGATTTGGAATGAAATTTGTGGTCTAATATTATTATTATTATTTTAATTTTTTTTTTGTTTTAATTAGAAAAATATGTAGTAGCATGATAATTGTTTTTTCTAGTTCTTATGAATAAGAAAATTATTATTATTATTTAAAAAATGTTTTGTTTTAATAAGAAAAATATGTAGTAGCATGATAATTGTTTTTTTAGTTCTTATGAATAAGAAATTTTTTATTATTATTTAAAAAAAATGTTTTGTTTTGATAAGAAAAATATGTAGTAGCATGATAATTGCTTTTTATTTTAGTTCTTATGAATAACAAAAATATTATTATTATTATTTATAAAAAAATTGTTTTAATAAGATAAATATGTTAACATATAAGAGGAAGCCCTTTTAGGTCATTTTACTCATTTAAGCTGTTTTATTTGCCAAACACTTAAAAATGTTTATTGCTTCTTGCTTATTCCCACCACAGTAAGGTAATCCAAACACTTTTTAAAAAACTGCTTATTCTCACCACAATAAGCAATAAGCAATAAGCTAATAAGCTAAAATTAATTTATTCAAACACCCCCTAAGTAAGTAATTATAAGATTCTTATTAGCATTTAAGGTCAAATATATAATTAAATAAATAATTGAGGTTTTATAATGATAATATAATATTTATATTAACCTTAATGGTTGATAAAGAATTAGACCGGTCTAAGGCCATGTGTGGCATACTAGCTGAAAAGCTAGCTATTAGCTAATAGCTAAAAAACTAATTGTTAAATAAAAAGTTAGTTGATACTTGGAAACTAGATGATAAAAAATGACGTTTGGTAAAACTAGCTGAAAATGTGAAATATCATAAAAATACATTTAAAAGAATATGTTTTTTTAATTAGTTAAGGGGTAGATTTGGAAAATTTTAAAAAGCTCCTAAAAAGATAGTGTAAGTAGATTTTTAAAAAGCTGGATTATAATCTACTTTTTGGCTTACCAAACATGACAACTTCAGAAAACTTGAAGAATAAACTAGTTTTTCAGTTAGTTGTGGCGTGCTAAACACAACCTAAATGTGCATTTTAGAAACTTAGTTTGAATTAAACCTAGGGTTGTGGGGGTGATATTTGTCAAGTGATCAAAATATAGGGAATCTAACTGCCAATATGTATAAAGCAAGCATCTTCTTATATTTGTCAACAACATGGCGTGACGAAGGGAGTTTTTCCTCTTGTTTGGTTGCAACACTTGCATCAGATCCTTTATAATGTAACAAAAAATAGCTTGAAGAAGTAAGGGGTGTGCGTGTATATACTATATGTAACTCGAGTTAGAGTGTGAGAGAAGCTGAGGATAAGAGAGTAAGATACATCATGGATTCTTATACGAAAAAGGATAAATTGAGAGAGATATCAGAAAAAAGATTGGATTAGTGGTAGTATGAGTGTTCTTATTTTTTAGCTGTGGTTGAGGCAGTGCTTCCGAGTTCAATGTCAACGTTTCCATCATACTAAAATGGGTTATGGATTTAAATATCAAGCTTGTTCAAAAGGAGATGCATCCGCCCTTTTATTGTATTGAGATCAAGCTCTGGGTGAATTTGGTTGGTTCGATAATATTTATCTTAAGAGGTGAATATTATTTGACTAAAATCATAGTATAAACAGTGATAATTAGACAACATATTTATAATTAAATGTTTGGTTGCATAAGAGATGTTGATGAATGAGAAGACAGTGTTAAGTGTGGTCTGGGTATATTAACCAAATATTACTTGAAATATGAGCTAAGTAAAAATTACTAATATGGTCCTAGGTTTTCGGAGAACTGGTACCGAATTTAGCCATTTTAGTGGTTTTATTTTGTGTTAGCTACTTCATGTGAGTTTTCTCACTGTACTCCTGGGTCGAAGGCACCAATCACTTCCCATTAGATTGTGTTATGTATCATTGTATATAGGATGTTGGTATGTTGTAGTGATCTGTTAGAATGTTAAACATATATATATATATATATATATATATATATATATATATATATATATATATATATATATATATATATATCATGATTACTTGCTCTTTTTGGTTATTTATTCATGTGCATATGTCGGCATATTTTGGTTGGTTTAAGGTGGTCCTGCTTTTTGCTAAAGGTCAAGATACACGGGAGGTCCAGTTGATACTATAAGCCAAGGGAGCCTTCTAGGATATGTTGTAGGCTCGAGAGCGGTACAACTTATACTGAAGGATCAGGTGGTGCTCTAGCCTTATGTTGTAGGCCTTGTGTGCATGCATTGTATATGTATTGTTGTGTAGGTGTTCTGGGGGAACTCACTAAGATTTGGCTTACAGTTGTGGATTTAAATGTTCTTTAGGTACTTATCGGATTGTGAAGACGGGGCTCTACACATGTACATCAATAGTTTTATGATTTGAGATTACGCATCATTTTCCTTATAAATCTGATATCGAATTATTGTTTTTGAATAAATGCTTTGACTTAATGTAACTTTACCAAAATAAGTGTTTATTCTATCTTGAAATTGAAAAAAAAATTATTATGAAATTCGGGATGTAACATTGCGTTTTGAACAAATCCAGATTTTAGTCAAATGTAAAACCAACGATACTAACAAATGTATATGCGTACAAACATTAGAATATTAATTTGTAATAAAAAGGACTTTTAACTGCTTTTGAGAGTTATATATTTACAAATGTCTAAAGTTTATAAATATACATATAATGGTTATGTTTGTGTTGTTTAAATTATCAAATACAGATAAACAAATTATATATATATATATATATATATATATATATATATATATATATATATATATATATGGAAAGGATCACATGAGAACACCTAAAAGGTTAAGAACGCAAGAACAGTTGTAGCCCAATTATTTTTAGAGGGCATAAATAAAATTTTACCATCTAATTAAATTACGATTTCCTAAATTTTAGTGATTATAATGACAATTACCCAAAATATCTCATTTTTTAGATCCTATTCTTTTAATGAACCCATAATTAATAAAATCATGATTTAATTTCTATCTAAAAACCATTTTTTTCATTTCA